CCCACACACTGCCAGTCCTGCAACATATGCTACAACCATTTTGGAACAGGAGCAGGAGTAGCAGAAGTGAAACCACGCAAAATTCTTCTTTCAGCACTGCCTTCCATCGGCACTCCTCTTCCCACTCACCACCACCCAGACAGATAGCCACGTCCTTTCATTGCTGCTCACTCCCATCTGGGTCTGGCACTACCTGAACTTGCTCTTCTAACCCCGGCACCCACAATTCCTCCTGATTCTACTTCTTTCCGCGCACTTTCTTTTTTTTAGCAGATTCTCCCTCTGACAAGAACTAAACATTTTGAAGCTGCCAGTTGGTGCTTTATTTCCATACCTATCTCCATACCCCATCCACAGCAATAGAAGAATGGTAGATGAATCTCCCTGAAACATCTCTTTCCAGCAATGCATTCTTCTCCACTGATACATCATGCTTTGTCCCTGAGCATTCACTCCTTCCACTAACTAAAAAAAGAAAGAATTAGCAGAAAAAAAAGGAATTAAAATAACTTATGAGACAGTGAGAAGGCATGCAGGACAGAGTTTCCATGTCCACCTGACAAAGGAATGAGAAACAGAGGATTTGGAGAACAGAACTACAACTAAACATGAAGTACAGTAAAAATAAATCCAGACAGGGGAAAAATAAAGTAACAATAGTAGGAAAAGGCCTGGTGGATTGAAAGAACAGATAAAAGACAACAATGAAGGAAAGAGACACAGAGATAAAGTGACAGATGTTGCAATCCAGCCAGCAATATTTTGCTTTTAAGAATTACAGACAAAGAACATATGTAAGAGGTATGATTAGGAAACACAACATATGAGTAGAAGCAAGCAAGCATGTGAATGTACGTGGAGTTTTCTGGATTATTGCGCTGTGCAAAGATTACTACATAGATCCCATGATTTTCACCCACTACAACTGGCACAACCGCTACAGACATATAATGAGCGGGCTTAGCTGATCTTAAGGGCATCCCTCCTCCCTCAATACAGCATTACCTCACGCAGCACCCTGGTAGAACTATACTGCTCCCTAGTCCGCAGAAGCATAGATGACTGCACCACAGCCCTTTCCACACAAATCAAGCCCCTGACCAAAGGCAAAGTCAGTTGCAGTGATTTCCTATAATTCCAGGTGAATTTGAACAATGTGTTACGTATCTGTAACGCATATAAAAAGTCAACTCTGTTTTTAAATTACCTGCTCTGGAAGGAATTCTGATCAGACCCATATGGACTAAAGAGTTATGCCAAGGATTGAACACATCCACTGAGCTGTGCTCCTAAAAAAGCATTGCTTGTCTTAATTCCCCTTTCCAAACTAATTTTAGTGTATGAAATATAGAACATCTTCATGTCTGCAAGAATTACATAGGATATATCAAAAATACTATTTTGATTGGCTACCTAAGCTTTCCAAATGTCAGTTTCTGTTTATATCTTGATTTGTATTGAATCTCACACTTAGGTTAAAATTAATTTTGAGGTCAATGTTATTCTTTGAGAAAAACTCAACAGATAACACTTAAGCATTTTTGAAGAACAAACCTGCTTTTAATCTCACTGTTTCTTCTCTTCCTTGGGGAGTTTATCTAGCCTTGACCTTTAACAAGACGGGTCAGCTGGAAGAGAGGTGAGGTTTTAATCATTAGCATGATGTCAAAATTTGAAAGGATAGCCCTTCCCACCCCAAATGTTTTGTGAACCAAAACCAGGTTCATGAAAGTGCCAAAACAAAAGTATATGCAGGCTGAAGTCTTTCAGGTGTCTACTGTATGTCTACAAAATAAATACAATATACATTGCATTCACTGAAGAAAGATTCCCCAATGCAAGAAATGGCCTATCAAGATGCTTCAATACGGAGGTTCAGTTAATTTTCCTAAACATGCATTCATTCTTTGAAGCAAACTTACTTGTATCATACATTTACATTCATTGCCGTGGATATGGGAGCAACTAAATTTTAGTGAAAAAGTGGCTTCATAGGAAACAGAGAAGTTTAGAACCACATGTGCCAAGATTCAGGTAATTTCAAATTCACTCAGTAGTATCCATGAACTCCTGGGATTGCAATACAAAAGACTCAAAAAAATGGATTATCTCAGCAATTCATCTGAATGAACACAGCTCTGAAGTGTTTGCCATGAGCTCATACCTTAAAAGATACTCTTTCAACAAAACTGAAAAACATTAAAGATGATCAGATCAAAAATGGACTGAAAAATAGCAACGTAGCTTTAACCAATAACTCTGTGTAAACTATGTTGTTATTCCTGGGCACTAATATGCCTCTGTGATAGGGTCACTGTAAAGAACAAGAGCTAAAACTCCAGACTAACCAACAATTTTATGGGATAAGAGACTATCTCAATCTGCGTAGGCTTTTATCTTCAAGTCTTTGCAAAGATTACCCACTGATTTGTGTAACTGTTGACAAAGTTCTGTATAGTAGTACATTCAAGGCAGTGAAGTATATGTATTTATGTCCTACATGCACTGAACCAACAGATTCAAGGGTAACTATCAGGCTCTAGTAGCCACAAATTCCTAACAAATTAATACTTGGATTTTTCTCTTCGGATTCCTCTTAAACCTAAAGTCTCGAGAACAGTTTTGCCAAACAGAAGAACAACAGAAAATTATCAATTATTGTCTATAAGACATGAGTATGCCTCTGTCTTCAGGGTATCAAACCCACTCAAGCAGTAAAAGTCTACAGCATGAGCTCCGAATAATACTACAAGAAAATGAGATTCTCCTCGAGTTAAAGAGGAAGTAGGCAGTATCTTTCAAATCAACGGTCCCGAGGTCCACCCCCCATGTTGCACATATTTGCTTATACTGTTGTCGGCAGCTACTGCTTGCAGCTGTTTCTCAGATGAGTCTAGGATATTTCAAAGTGAGATAACTGGATAGTATTATGTATGACAAACTTGCAAGTGTTACACTGTATTAGAGCACAAGCAACATGGAACTATACACCAAAAACTTCCATCTTACTAAAGCTAAAGGAGAATCTCAAGTAACCAGTGTTTTCTAAAGCTGAAAAATACCAGACCATTCTCAGTTTAAGATCAAATCCTTCAGCAGGTGGAAGTCATCAACTCACACCTGGATAGAAGTCTGTTTCAGTACTGGTTGATAGGGAGTAAGAAATGGCCTGATATCTCAGCTTGTTCTACTAGGCCAGTGAACACTCCTCTGACTATTACAACAGTCACAGGCAACCAACTCCGCATCCCAAGAGAAAACCCTGTTGTCCAGATAATTAATTTGCTAGTATCAATACTAAAAACCAAGCATCCACCTCTCCCTCCCCTTACTTCTTCACCCTGGCACTTGCAAATCCTTTTCTATATTAATTCAGCTCACTGAACTGACAAAGAAACAACCTGTCAAAAAAAAAAAAAAAAAAAAAAAAAAAAACAAACTCAGGCCCCCCTCCCCCCTAACAAAAAAACACTAGCAAACTCAAAGTCCTTCAGCCATTGCAGGTAACCACTGGGACTGCAAGCACATTCTCAGTAGTTCCCACATGCTTACACTTGTAGGTCAAAGCGCCTCAGAGAACCCCTTCCTAGCCATGCTTCCTCCTCCCCTTCCGTGGGGCCAGAGGGTAACGTCACAGTCTGCTGGCCACGGCACGAATGGGTTGGAAAGGAGTGAAAGACTCCCCCGTGTCCTACCCAGCTGTCCCAGAGAAAACAATTGTCCCAAAAAACCAATACTTATTTCCTGATAACTTCGGTGCAGGGATGCCAATGCAGAGGACTGTCCTGGGTCCACCCTCTCTCACCTACAGCAGACTTGAATCTGTACTGGGGCTCTGGCAGTCACACAAAAAGCTTCATCAGAGAACTGATTTGGTCAAAAACTCATCATATTTTAATTTATTTTTTCGGGAGAGTTTTCAGACAGATCATACAGCTGTACAGAGCTGAGGGCTGGCACAAGAAACACAAAGAAAACCTTCCGCTCAGAGAAGGTAGGATCAGCTCCCTCCACAGCAGGTCAATGATTGGGCTAGCCAGAAGTGGTTATGGAGGTGTTTCTTGACCTCATCAGCCACAGAAGAGAGGCCTGCAGTCCTTCCTCATGCCCCCAGGCTACAGCACAGTTATAGAACATTTGCAGAAGCATAAGGTAAACACCCTCTTTGTTCAGGCACACAGCTTAAACTGCAGCCCATCCCTCTGCTTCCAAAACTAGCTCTGCTTTGTTATTCACAGTAACTAAGAAGGGCTCCTTTGTATGTTCACCTGAAAAATCAAGATGACAGCACTGTGAAATACTGCATTAAGCTGACAGCATCTCATGTATGTTTTGGCTTGTTATACAGTTCTGAGCTTGATATTTGTAAACAAAAACAAAACTGACATAAAGGATTTTCTCTCTTTTTTTTTTTTCATGGCATAACTCCTGGAATCATGCCATATTTGGAAATAACAGCTGCAGAAAGTTAGTGCTTCCATCAACCTGGACCTCCACAGGGAGCTGGTAAGTTGTAAAGTTCTGCTCCTGAGCAAGAGATCTAAGATAGGAATTACTTATCAGTCACCTGAGCTAGCACACAGCACACCAAGGGACCTGTCAGTAGTGAAGGAAGGAGATTGCAAACTCTGACAGTATTACTGCTTTCTTTTAATAAATAGTCTCATGAACACTGCTATTGAAAAGGCTATGGGAAAAACAAGAGAAAACTTCCCAAGAAAATCAAAGTGAAGTGAAATGACATATTAAAAGCTTAAAGTATCATCAGACAATCATACCTACTAAGCTAATCAGTTACAAAAAGTATCAGACAAACGAAAAATGTTTGACAAACCTTCAGAAAAGGTCCCAAACAATACACACTATCGTTAAATAAACTGGCAAATTTTAGGAACGCTAATCAAGAAAATACTTTAAGTACTTGATGTTAAGATCTTTTACAAAAAGGGAAGGTTTTCAAAACAACAAAATGTATTTGATACAACATTAGAAATACTTACAACTACTCCACTCTTGGTGACAGTTTCCCGGTATGTAAAATTGCACACTGCCCAAGCTAGGTAATATGTGGACATGAGAGGGGTCTGTGAAAAGTGATCTGTAACCCATCCATCTTCTTCAAAAACAGAAGTTTCAACTGGCATGTTGGATAAAGATAAGTAAGTTGCTTGATGCCTGATGCTGATTTTGAAAGTGGCCTTGTAGATGGGCTCGTCAAAGCAAGGAAAGGCTTTTCTGGCATGAGTAGGAGAAAACTGTGTAACACCAAGAAACCTAGAAAAGAGGCAAACAAAAAAACAAAGAAATTACTATGTACCGCACCTGATTCACGGACATACCAAATAAGACATTGCTTGACTATTGTGGTTTAAGGAGCGGGGGGGAAAAAAAAAAAAAAAAAAAAAAAAAAAAAAAAAAAAAAAAAAAAACTGTACAAAGCATTCAGTGTTCATACTGCTTCATCACTTCCTTACCACTTGTACTGCAATGTAATTGACATAAAGTAACAGCCTTCAAATTTCCTACAAATTCGCAGACACCACACTGATGTTAAATAAATAATCCCTTGCCTTATACCAAAATTCAGGTTCTAGCAGCAGTTTTGTTCATCAATATGTGAAAAAAAGCTAGCCAATATTGGCTGTACGACACAAAACAAGTAAATCCTCAGTTCAAACCAGGATTTAACAGCCTTCAAGGAGTTCAGTCTGCCCAGAGACACGGACAGGGCACTTCAACTTTGGACGTGAGAACTTACGGTCACATAGTGCACTCAAGACAAGAGGGTCCTTGTTCTCCACTGCAGATTACTTCTGTACCGGTTGCATGTCGGTCTGAGACAAACACACTACTGTACAGCACTGCTGTGACCATGCAAGTCCAAAAAACCATTCTGTGAGCTTTGCGGAATTACAAATATAAGCAAACAATTAAACAAGTAGAGAGTAGTTCACCATTCTTCTACATGTGCTTTTCTTTTCTGGTTTATTTTATAGAGACCTGAAAATTTGACATTCTCAGTTAACGGGTCAAATTATGAAAAGATCTCTGAAGGAAGAAAAGATATTTATTATGACATTGTATAGAATGGAAGGCTTTAGTTTGACAGTAAAATCTGTTACCTGTTTTCTTTGGAACTCAAGAGGTTTTTAAACCAGATAGGAGAATAGTAACCTTCCTGGGTAGAAACTTATATTCATACATTTTGAGAAAGCCCATGTGCAGTGATCCCTTTGCAAAAACAAGAAGCTACACTTAAAAGGTTGAATTATGGAGTCTGATAAGAATATTTACTGGCGACATGCAGAATGAGAAGATGACTATGAGCCAACTACGCAACTGTAGAGGTAGCACATATGTAGGCTTTTTGAGCGGTATTGATTCATGTCTCGCTTTCCAAGGTTCCATTAGTGGAAATAACCATGCAATTTTAGATACCAGGTAAACATTTATCAGAATTTTAGAGGTTGACTAATCATCTGTTATTCCTCTAGGGGAAGAGGATGGGTGGATAGATTTGATATAATGAAAATGGTGGCAGCTATTATTAATCAGTCTAGAAGCATTATTCTGCAATATGACACACTAACGCCAATGGGGGAAAAAAAAAAAATACATAGCCCATAAGGAAAATAAAGTATCTAATTAACTTTTTCTAAAACTTCTTGAGTTTTATACATGTTTTGAAGCATTGATTTATAAAAAAACAATGAAGAAATAAACTTCTTGAAATGTTACACTTTTATCTTGCTGTAGCACATCCACACCTAATAGAACTAGATATATGCTTTCTGGTGAAATTATCACCTCTTTCCAATAAGGCTAATTTTTAAAACACTTGAGAACATTTTCCACCACCAAGGAAGTCACCATTGGTCTTTTGTCTAAAATAAAAAGCCTTCTTTGGCTAGTAATTATTGAAGGAATTAATCATATCGCATTTTTCTTGTCTCATTGTAAAACATGGATTACTAAAATTATAATTCTGCATAAAGTTGCTAAATACAAGGTAAAAAGTTGGTGCCAGGTATCCCAGTGTTAATCCAACAAAATTCCATATTATCAGCGGAGTTGCACTAGTGCAACAAAGCTAAATGACCCAATTAAATGAAGCAAAGCAACTTAATTTATATGCAAAGTATTTCAAATGGACCTGATTCTGCATTCCAGGCACACTCAAAACAGCTACAGACATCAAGAGAAGCTTCAAGTGAGCATGGAAAACTGTACCGGTCTGTTACTAATAAAGCAAGAATTATGAACTTTCCTCTGTAATTAACAATTTTAATGAGCTCAGACACACATGTGAATGCATACTTAGGGAATACTGTATATATTCTGACACCCTCTAAATAAGGAAAGGGGGTTTTTCCCCCATTTCTTTCAGATCCTAACAGTAGTCTTTTAATACTTATGTTTTAGGCCACTGAAACAATCCCTTCACCAGACTAATAGAACCTGATAAACTCTGCATCTTCTGTATTCTCAGATATCCACATCCACGTAACTGGGCAAACACTGGGCAGTCAATATTTCATACTAAAAATACATCAACTACCAATAGCAGTGATATTTATAACATGTGCATTACTATCAAACATCGATTTGCTTGTTGTGCCATAAAGCAAAACAAACAAGAAGTTAAAAACTGCTTCCCAAAGACTAAAACCTTACACATATTTAAAAAAAAGAACAAAACATTGTCTGTGTTTACCTATTTCTCTCCATGTTAGGAGGTAAAACTTCTACAGCATGCCAAAAGCGAAGAGGATTTCATCCATCTCTCTACACACCTCTCTGGGCACTGACATTTTTATCTCCGATTCCCCAAAATATCACCATAAAAAGTTGTACTTCTGGGAATGACAGCCTTGCAGCCTGTCTTCTCAGCATACCCACGGCAGTAATTTGCAGGTGTTTTAATTCCACCTCATCTATTAAAGGAAGACATGTGTTTCCTCAACAACCTATCTATTTTGACATCTTAGTTGTTATAAGATGGAAGAATATGTCTGTTTGTTTTGTCTGATGTAAGAATTATTTTTTCGTTTTCATTTATGCCAAAGTTTGATGTTCATTTAAATTATGCGTGCATATTCTTATGGCACTCTACAGTTGCTGTTTATTAAATGTCTGTTGATTACTGCCAGAAAATTCTGGCACATAATGCAAAGGAAATTTGTAGCATATCACTTGCATTTTATATTTCAATTAAAATAGCAAAGATTGCAGTAAGAAAATAAATACTTTTATGCAGCTATCAACATTTCAGGCTGATTTATGACTTTCACCTGTGAAGACCACAGAAAGTGAACAAACTTTAGGAAAAAAAATTATAAAGTGAAGGCATTACTATGTTTGTGAAGCCTCACAATTTGCCAGAGTTATTCACTTCTCATGTACCACAAAAGTGAAAAATTATGGTTTAGACCCTTTTACAGCAACCGCTGCTCCAACAAGTTTGCTGTATTTTAATCGAATATAAAGATGTCAAAAAGCTAAAGCCCTGCTGGAACATCAAGGTCTCTCAGAGCACGAGAGAAACCTGTCTGTCTCTCATAGTAGAAGCCATCTATGTTTAAGGACTAGAAATGCTTATATGTATTACATTAAAAACGGGTTATTAATCAAAATGCAAATTGCTACACTGCAAGAGCACGCTCTGAACAAAGAAGTGCCTTGGTTTAGAATGTGTGTTATTTACTTTATACTATAAATGAGTTGTTAAGCCTGTGACAGTTGAAAAGGAAAAACATTACTTCTATTAAACACCTGAAACTATAACCACGCATTGATTACAGTTTTAAAAGCAACATTTTACTGAAAGAAACAAGTGAGCTGCTGTAATGAAAGAAGTGCCACCAATTTTAATATAACAATGCTACCTTACACAAGGTAAGGGTCTTGCCCGATATGACTATATTCGAATGCATTAAAAACAACGCAACTTGTATCACAAAAGTTACACAAAGACTACTGGGAAACACATTTTACCATCACCTTCCACCCTGTGTCTTACGCTATCTTGATGATTCAAAAAGTGAATAGGCCTTTTTTTGTTGTTGTTTTTAAAATCATAACTGGGGCATCGGTATTGAAGTGCAGTACAGTAACTTTGGAGAAATGTCACTGCCACACCTCTTTGACACTTCAATTATTCCTACACAAAGTCTAAATACACAAGAATAATAACTACTTAAATAATTTCATGGGTTTGTAAAGTGAATTATACCCCCTGCTGTTAACAGTATTTTGTTTTCTGCTTTGCCCATTTCCATACAGGTCTGCAAGAACTCCCGATTACCCCAGCCATTCACCACTCCATGATAAAAGGCATTTTATCCGCATCTTTTTCTACAACTATACTTTTTCAAATTTCCATTTTATTTCACTGCAATGACAAATCACACTAACTTAATTTCAATCTCATTTGTCATTCTAACATTGGGCTGTTTAAAATTGTCAGTAATAATAATGATGAAAATATGTTTTAATACAAGGGCTGTTGATTTAATTGAGTCAGGAAGCACTCTTTTTTCTGTGTGACTTGTGTTTTTGCCCAGTTGCTCCAACTAGAAACTCTTTGCTTCACTTTGCAGTACCAAGCAGTAAGGTTCAGGAAGAGAAAACTTGTCACTGCACAGATGTTTCATGAAAGGACAGCTTAAAAAGAATCTAATTCTAAAAAGATAAACCATGCCAGAACTATCAAGATGCCCACCCCATCTTTTTTTTTTTTTTTTTTTTTTCCTATTACAAAGCTTGATTGTGGTTTGAGGAGAAAACTACTTCTAAGGAAGAAAAAAAAAAAAAAAAACAAAACACAACAAACTCTAACTGCCTAAACTGAGGCCTCCACAGTGACCCTGCCTACTGTAACAAGGACCTCGATGGGGACCCAGGGGCTACAATAACAAGAGTAAACACAGCTCAAAATCGAATCTTGTTTGCGAGAAAACAGTGAAAAGTGCCCAGGTTTGCCCTGTCACGGGGTGTAAATCAGCAGCGGTCCAGCTGCAGCAGGTGGCGTAAACGCATTCACCTGATGGGAAATCACATCCCACCACTTTTTTTTTTTTTTTTTTTTTTTCCCCCCCCTTCAAATAACGAAACACAAACAGAACAGTAGGGAAGTTCCGTTCGTGACCCGCCACGACGGGACACCCGGTAACCGGACACAGCGGGGGCGGTGACTAAATAATCGGGTCCGCAGGCTCCGTTCCGTGGCTCTCCCGGCCGCCGCGGAGCGGGCGGTGGGTATCGCCCGCCTCCCCCTCTCCCCTTGGAAGCCTACCCGTTACCACCGTCCGCGCCCAAACCGCGCCGGGGCACCCCCCCTTCCCCCGGCGGCAGCCCCCCGCCTGCCCCCACACACCCCTCCCGCAGCCGCTCCGCCGACCCCGGGGCGGAGCGGAACGGGGTAGGACTCGCGGCCCCGCCAGAGCCTCCGCAGCTCCGCCTTTCCCAGGGACCGGGACCGGGACCGGGGGGGGCGAGGCCCGGCCTGCGCTCACCGAGCGCGGAGCCCGCGGCCTCCCCCTCCTGGCGGCGCCGCGGCCCGCCGGGTCCTAGCGCCGCCCCGCCCGCCCGCCCGAAGTTCGGCGCGGGGGCCCGCCAACTTCGGCCCGAGTTGCGTTGAGGCGGCGCGGCCGCTCCGCTACCTTCTCTCGCCGTGGAGGACGTAGGAGCTGCGGAAGAAGCCCAGCAGCTCGTTCTCGATGAGGGCGTTGTAGATGATCTTGAGGTTGTAACTCCTCTGCACCTCCAGGCTGCGGTTGAGGACGACGACGAAGACCTGGGTCTGCGGGTAGAGGAAGGAGCGGGCCACCCGCACGCCGCCGGCCAGCTTGTCCTCGGCTACGCGGACCGCCTCGATGTGCATGCGGTGGGCGTGCAGCACGATGTAGCGGCTGGCGTTGCGCACCTCCAGCTGCACGTTCACCTCCCCGCTGAAGGTGAAGTTCTCCATGAAGGCGCTCAGCATCAGGTTGTAGTGCAGCGGCCGCAGGTGCCGCGGCAGCCGCGGCCGGGCCCAGGGCGGCAGCTCCCGCCGCCGCTGCCACTCCTCCTCCTCCCGTTCCTCCGCCGCTTCCCCGCCCCGCGCCGCCGCCTCCTCCTCCTCCTCCTCCGGCCGGCCGGGGGGCTGCCCCGCGCCGGGAGGCTGCCGGGCCGCCCCGGGGAAGCTCCCGTTGCCGCCGGCCCGCGGCGGGCCGTCGGCGGCGGCGCCGCACTCCTCGAAGCGCACGCTGAGCAGCACGGCGATCATGGTCACCGCCAGCAGCGCCAGGATGGAAACGGCGAAGCCCAGCACCAGGCGCTTGTGCACGGCGATGTGCCGCTCCGTGGTGCGGGGTCTCGGCCCCGCCGCCTCGGCCCAGGGGCCCGGCGGCAGCCCCCGGCTGCCGTTCCGCAGGGCGGCCTCCTCCTCGATCATCATGGGGGTGACGGGCGGGCGCTTCTCCCGCTTCTCCTCCAGGGCCATCACGGCAGCGCCGCCTCCGCCTCCCGCGGGGCCGCCGCCCCCCGAGGGGGCCCCGAAAGCATGGGAGGCTCCGAGGCGTGGGGGGGGGGAGAGGGGGGACGCCCTCGGCCCGGGGCGGGGTGGGAGGGGGGGGCCGCGCCGCGCCGCCTCTCACTCCCTGACGAGCCGCATCACCCTGGCTGCCGGCAGCCCCGCCGGGGAGCGGCCCCTGGGCGGGGGGACGGGACGGGACGGGATCGGGCAGGAGCCGGCGGGCGCTCCCCGCCGCTCAGGCAACTTGTGCGGCTTCTGCGGGGCACTTCAGCACATGCCGCCGAGCGCACCTCGGCGCCGAGGGGGAGGGCTCTGTCGCCCCGGTCCGCCCCCCCCCCCGCCGCTAGCGCTGCCGCCCGCAGGGAGCTCTCCGCTCCCCGGGGCCGGGGTCGGGCTCCGCGCCCGGCCCCGGCAGCGCCCGAGCCATCCGCGCCCCGCGCAGGTGGGGCCGCCCCCGCGGGGCTCGTCCGGCACCGGAGGCGGCGGCACCGGACAACGGCGCCGGGCCGGGCCCGTCCTTCTCCTCCTCCTCCCGGCGGGGCTAGCTCCGGAGAGTCACTCCTCGCGGCTCCTCTCTTATTTTGTCTTTCTTGCCTCCTGCAGGTACAGAGCGGTCTCCCAGCCGGCTCGGGCAGAGGCGGCTATATATAGGCACCGGGGAGAGGCGAGGGATGGGAAGGGGGGAGAGGCGGGCAAGCCCCGCCGCCCCTCGGCTTCAGCGGCGGCTCCGGCTGCCGGCGGTGACGGCGGCGCCCCGGGGGAGCGGGCGGGGGCGGGAGGCGGGGGCGATGCGGGGACGAGGGAGGCTTTTCTCCGGTGTGTCACACGCGGCGGCTCCGGGGGGGGGAGGTCGCTGAGGCGGCGGCTGGAGCCCTCGGGCGGTGCGAGAGCGGGAGCCCGGCCGCGCCGGGGACGGAGCGGCTGCCCGGCTCTGCAAAGCCGGCGAGCCGCGGGACTTGCCCGGGGTGGTTCGCGGGTGAGGGTGCCCGCCACATAAATACTGAACGCCGGCACTGTGTCATATTTATAGAGAGTTAATAAAGAGCCGCCGACTACGCGTTCGGACGACAATAGCGCTGTCATACTAGTGCGGGGATGGAGCCGGAAAAAAAAAAAAAAAAGAAAAAAAAAAAAAAGGATAAATACTCCTACTTAAATCGATAGGATTAATATGCCGAGAAAAATCGCTCCCTGAGTGCTGGCTGGGACTTTCCGAAATCCCCCTGCCCTTCCTCTGCAGCCCCAGGACAGCCTTCTCGCTCCTGCCCTCGCTGGACAGACCCCGCTTCTCAGCTGGAGGGATTTAAGGACGTGTTTGTTAAATGCTGCCTGGAGTCTTACACCAACACGGGGCTTGAGTAGTCCTAGGGGTGAAGCCCCACCTGGAAAACCGAATTACTGAATCTGAACCCATTGTTTCCACCTGCCCCCAAACTTTTGCACATAAGCACTGCAGAAACACAGAACTGATACACACAGTGAGGATCTAGAACAATGTCTGAACGCATCCCTGTTCCCCTTATTTTGATTGTATACTTCAAAAACTATCTCTGTTCATTTTCAGTTTTGAAGCTCCTTAGCTCCAATCTTGTAAGCAGTTGCAAATGTGTTTATCCACAGCATTCAGTCCTGTGGAATCTACGGGAATATAGACTCTATGTCAAGTTAAATGTGTACGTAATGATTTGCACAATAAGATCCTTACTTTCCATGGTTAAGAAAAAAAGAAGAAAAAAAAAGTCCTACACTTCTTTCGTAAGCAAAGCAAATCTTCAGAGTTTCATGAGATGTGATGTATTGGCCATTTTACTTCCCAAAGGAATGCCTGATCTCTGTTTTCCCTGAATCTACTATATCTTCTAGAAATGTTATCTGACTCTGTATGCTGTTGCAGAATATGAATGATCATTTACTGACACTCAGTTTAGTCTAAGGAATGCCAGTTTAAGGAATTTACCAGTTTCCTTACATATTCCTTAAATTTCCTTATGTATTCCTATATAAGGATTATATATAGGTCTGCCTTCCCTGGAAAGAATTGAGCCTTTGTTTTTATCTTGCAGTACAGTCTAACAAAGGCTTGTAATCCTAGCTAGTCTTAATTATAACTATGGTGATACACTTGCTAATTGTCTTTGTATGTCCTAGAAGGACTAAGATTTTGCTCCATAACTAGCATTCCCACATACTCACTGCAGTGTTATTTGGCTGCCCACCTGTTATAACAGGCCAAAGAACAGAAACATTTTATTATCTGAAGATAGCCTTCATTATTTGTTGAATGAAATTTGAGACAGAAAGGTAGAAAACTATTGCTATGTGATTTGGGAGGGGAAAAAAAAAAAAAAAAAAAAAAAAAAAAAAAAGAAACAAACTGACACTAAAATAACATCCAAAGCTACAGGTTTAAAATGTCAGTTGCTATATGTTTCATTAAACCCTTTAAGAGCAGGCACCAAAAGAAGTGCCTGAGTGTTTGTAAGATTTTGTATGCAGGCTGTCAGTATCACACATTAGTAAAACAGGCAGTGTTTCCCTCTATCTCTTTCTGCAATGGTTTTTAAGTTACGTTTGTTCCCATCAGCAGCACGGGGAGACATTCAGGCAAAGATGTGCTTCAAGAGTAGAAGTAGCCTGGAATACAGGAGAACAGTTTGAGTGTCATTTAACAATTATTTTTAATTTTTAATCCATCTTTTTCATTAAATATAATTGAATAGTTACAAGTTTCACAGGTTAATGTTTTTGTGAAGCCTTCTCAAAAAAGTGGTGAGTGCCAGGCAGTTGGGTTAACCAGCTCTGCCACTTTTAAAGAGGGATGTACAGCTGCATGTGACAGCACAGGAGCATCATTCTGGCCTTCTCAATATACAAATAACAAATACATAACTCTCCAGGCTAAGATCTTTCAAAACCAGCTGAGGGAGTCAGTCACACAACTCAGCTTTGACAATGTTAGTCTATAAATTGAAGGGTCAGTATCAGAGAGGGTATGTAAAAGATTTAAGGTGCATGCTAGTAAGAAGCCATGAGGCTAATTCCTTTTAAGCCAGGTTGAAATAGCACAGTCAAAATACTGGAGCAAGGCATGAGTGACGGGAGTTAAGGCTGTTTATAATTCACCTCCAACTTTGGTCCCATTACTCAAACAAACCATCAGGAGGTTTGCAGCCCCCCTCTGCCCCTCCTTGGGTTTCTTGTCAGTCTGGAGACTTACGATAAGAAGGGACTGCTATGTACTGTGTTATATGGCTCATGTGACTCAACTCATTCATCATTCTAAAGCTGCGCTTTACTAGATTAACCTCTTCTTCATATTAGTAATAATGGTTTTCTAAAATGTAGCTTGACCAGGTACAGGTCAAGGAAGGTATTAACTTATTAATTTGTTCTCAAATGCTACTCTCTGCGAGTAGTTCTGTGTACAGATGGTTATAGCCATTTTGATGAGAAATTACAAAGTCATGGAGCTCCCAAAAAACAATTTGTGTACATCTGGGAAAAATTCTTGTTTTTTTAATTTGTCCACAGTTATAAGCCGAGACATGGATTTCGTGAGTGTTGCCTCTGAGTCTTGGAACTCCTTTGGTCTTTCTGCAAAGTCTTTGGAAAATAAATCACATCATGGATCATTTTTTCAGCAAAATTCTGATAATGACTCCCAGTTGTTCAAAACTTCCCCTAGGCCATCAACATCTTGTATGCAATCTCATTTTATGAGCTTATAGGGTAGGGTTTCAGTTACTCATACAAAATAAAAGAGCGTGTCTCACCTTAACTGAATTGCTATAGAGATGGCCCTCCCTAGACAAGTATCAGAAGAAACATGGATAAACTTCAGACAGCATAGTTTCCAATTCTATACCAGCTTATAGTGTGGCCAGCAAAGAGCTGATGAGGGATCCCCATAAAGCTGTGGTTTATGTTACGTTAAGATTGTGTACAAACACCCCTCAGTATTCACACTGGTGCTTTACAGTCTTCAGAGAAAAGCTCTATAAGTGAGCAACCTTACTGCATATCATGCAGCTGGGCACAGTTCGACCAAACAGGGGATCAGCACACTACAGTTTTTCAAGGCTGCCTAACTTTTTCTGCTTTTTAACCTGAATGATCCATCCTTCGTTCATCCGGGTATATCAAAGGTTTGCAGACAGACTTTAGCACACTGACCCCACTCCCACAAAAAACCCTGTGGTAAAGGACTCAGAAAATGTCCTTCTATGCAAAGTCCAGAAACAACTGGAATTTATACAGGGAAGAATTAGAGGGGAAAATGACGGCATCAGCCCACATCAGTCAGTGCTCCACTGACCCTTTCAGCCTCAGTCAGGCATTTCTGTGGTCATAGCTGGATTCTCCTTGCGTACTTCAAGGATACCCATAGCTCCTAATCCCTTCTGTTTAAGTGCTAAAACAGACTACACTTCATAGCCTACTAACGTGTTGGTCAAAACACATCAATAAAGGGACCTCTCAAAATATTATAAACTATCCACTTCCCACAGATCCAGCTCCCACGTGTCTGTGAGTTACAAGACCAAGTCTGGGATGACTGAGGGATGACTGTTTCCAAGATACAAGAGGTTGACAGAGAAGCAAAGAGGAAATTAGCAGCCTATCGTCCGTTGGCTTTCCAAGTTATGACTAATTCCCCAAAGAAGTGCCACTGCCTAACAGGGGACCGTTGTGTCCTCTTGTGGCTCGCAAGTGGGCCAAAGGGGGTGGATTGGGACAGTGGTCCTACCTTTAGTGGTTGTTGGGTTGGGTTTGTTTGTTTTTTTTTTTTCTTCCAGAAGACATTTTCAGTAACATGTCAGGTTTAACATATGGCGCTGGGGAATACACCTTCTGTTTAGTTTAAAATTTGCTGCTAAGAAAAATGCTAAGGGAAAGACTTTCTAATTAAAAGCCGAAACAGCCAAAACACTGGGTTGTAAAACAAGCTGACACACAGTGATTTGTGCTGGCTTAAACATACCAAGAAAAGGAACTTTCCTTCCATCGTTCTCCTCTGCTCCTTCACCCTCATGTCACCTGTATAAATTATTTTTTTTTCTTACTTGAAACCAGTGGTATTAAGCACTATTTATGTTTAGTTTATAATTAGAGATGTCCAGATAACTAGATGCAGCTTCATCTTGGACAAGTTTTATATTTCCTTTTATAAAGGAACAGACATAAGAGGGAGGGGCACGGTGCTGCGCTGTGCTGTGGGTAATACCCTATGTAATGGGAAGCTGGAAGTCTGCCACAGGACAGACAGGCTCCCTAGTAATTTGGATCCTTCTCTTCCTCCCTCCTTTCTCTCTTACCATCATCTCTTGCTTTTCGGTCACCTCCTGAGTTGGAAGGAACATCTGAGGAGGCATCAGTGGAGCGTTGCCTGTGTACCAGCAGGCCCCAGTGACCACCCGCTGCTTCCCATTTACCCTGTGCATTGAAATCATACCATCGCCATCCTTTGCTGTGGAATTTTCTTTTGTTTTATTTCAGTCCTCTTAAAACTACTCAATACTACCCTACTAAATCATAACACATTTTTTCCCCAAAAGCCAATACTTTCTATCTCAAGTTTTAGGATAAAAATATCTACTTTCATATGAGAATTAAATATTTTACATTTCCAAATTAGGTGGCTGAGAGGTATTATTTTCCCCAGATGTTCTGTTTTCATATTTATCCACATCTATTCAGTGACTGATTTTTTCTTTTTCTTCCTTTCATTTCTTTTTCTTCATTTCAGCAGCAATTTAAGAAGGAAAACAAGTGTCCTCATTCTCCACTAGCAAGTTTTAGTTAAAGTATATTTCAATTTCTTTACAAATGTTTTGGTTTTTTTTTTTTTTTTTTCTCAGTGTTTTTAAACACAGCTTCTTGAAGGTGTTTTTTTCCAGGCATGAGCCATTTCAATTCCACAAGTTCAATAATACAATGTTGTAAGTAGTGGGATGCAGAGCATAGATATAATACTGTTTGTTTCTTTCACTGAATAATTACACTTAAAACTGGCTAATTGGAATCAATTAGTGGTAAGAAGTTAGTCTCAGGGGGAGAAGAAGAATTTGTGGAAACTCCAGATTGTGTTAGGAACCAACATTTCTACACCTAGATTGTGTCTTATCTGCTAGTTCAGCACCTTTTTCACTGAAAAATACCAGGGACATGCCAGTAGGCAGGATGAGGCTTTATTTCCATTAAAATTTATATTAAAACACATTTTTTAAAACATCTGTGGATAATCTCTTCATCCATTTAACACTACAATACATGTTCAGATTTCTGGTATTGGATGTCAACACAGACAGTTTAGTGTGTTTACTAAAGCATTATAAACATCCTGCACTCTTGTTTCTTTCAATATCCCATTTCCTGTTTTACAAGGAAAAAATAAGGATGTTCCTTCATGGGTCTCCTGGTTCAGCTAAGCTAGACAGTCCCTCCTTATGCAAGAGCACTTGTTGTGCTTTACCATCACCTGTCTCAGGCCCAATTTAGTGTCCAGTAGACACTATATGAGTATGGGAACATATTTAGCCAGCTCCACCATGACCAATTATACTCTCCTGTACACTCCCTAAGAAATTCTAAGGATATATGCACTGATCTTCACCTTCCCAATCTAAATACCTTAGGGATCTGTGACTTGCCAGAAGTCCTGGATAAGGGTAAAGTCGACAATTTTTGCAGAAATGTGGCCAAAATTTAACAGCTGAGGGAAATGTAGCCTGCAACAGTCCTTCAAGAAGAATGATCTGTAAAAACAATAACAAATATCTACAAATAGAATCACTGTGAAATTCCTCAGTCCAAATTCTGATTGATCCCAAACTTTCTCTGAATAAGGACCGCAAGGAAGAAGGTCAGTGTGTGTCTATGGTTGCCGTGTTCTCATGGTTCCAACAAAGCACTTTGGTACATGCTAAAATGTGGCTTTCTTTGGGCTAGCCTTTAAAATGGAGCAATTGCCCGAGTGGAGACCTAAACAGGGTGGGGATAAACTACAAAAAGGAAGAGGAGTTCAGCTGAATGAGCAGGATCGTTTGCTTCAGTGCTCATCATGGCCAAAACTTGCCTGGGCTTGCTTTTATTGGCATCATGAGGAATAGACATTTATATTTCCTCACACAATGAATAATGCAAACAAATCAAATGAGGTCTTTGAATATAGAATACCAGTTATTATTTTTTTAAAAATAATAACTGTTTGTAGTGATAAAACTATTCTAAATGCACCACTTTTAAACACTTTCATGTTTAAAATACATGAAAACATCCTCTCTAGTAATTCTAGCATCCAGTCTTTCAAGCTACACTTGATTTCCAGGCCAGCTGCAAAGTTGCAATTTCATTAAGCATCAAAATACATTACCAATACACCGGATCATTTGGTGTATTGGTAGACCACACTATCAGGTATTCTGTAATACTGCTCACCTCACAGAAAAATATGTTAAAATCACTTTAAGGATTTTTTTTCTTAGTACATTGGTACTATTTTAAGTTTGTCTCTGCAAGTAAACTCCTGCCCCCTATCGCCCTTAATAGTACTGATCCCATAGGCACACATCTCAGAAGAAGTAAAAATATTATAGCTAGTCTGGTTATAAAGGTCTAGAAATTACTCTGATGCAATTTTTTTCATTATGTTGTAAGCTGCAGGTCAGCAGCCTACCAAACAGTCATGGCTGATACTTTACTGCTAGAAAAGTATTAATCTGACCACTCACTTGTAACTTGAATCTCAAAAGGACTTTCACAATTAAGGTAGTTTTGGTGAGAATTCACACTCATCAAAGTGACAAGATTTAACCCCTGTTGGTATAAAATTCTTGATCACAGAATGATATTAATTCAAATAATTATTTATGGAATAAAACCAGAATACTCAACTGCAAAGGCATAAAAATTAAGCAATCAAAACATTTCAGTAGAAAACTCATTCACTTTACAGACAGTAAATAATTCCTCGTGTCATATCTTTTACCAACATGACTAATAACTGAAAAAAAGATTTTAGCTTTTAGTTCATTTGAATTCCTTTATTCCTCAGAGAAGAAAATTAATTAACTACATTTTGATCACAATTATCCCCCTTCAGATTCTGGAACTGTGATAAGTAGATGACCTAAGTCTCGTTCATTCTCTTTAAAACTTAACTTTTGATGTGGGATGGGGGCAATGAACCATCTTTGCTGCGATATAGCTTTAAGGCTTTGCACAAAATAAAATTTAACTGACAATAAAGGAAGCGTGCTCCTAATTAAAATAATATTGATTCAGCATATGGTATTTTGCCTTTGGTTTTCACTTTTTATTAGCAAAGTTGTCATTTTTCTCTTTAGTGCCACCTTGTGGGTCAGA